AACTTGTAATCTGTTTTTTAATAGTATTTTATTAAAAAAATGTATTTTACTCAAAACTTGAAAAGAAAAGTTGTGTTACATGATGTTACTGTTTAATTAAATGTTTATTTTATGAGAAAAATCATATGTTTCTTTGTGATATTATTATATAAAATATATTGTTCCAAAGTGATTAATAATATAATTTTAAAATTCATATTTAAATTTACATCTCCACAAAGATGCAAAGTATTTATGAAACTCTCTCCGTACTCAACAAGTTATTCAAGTAAAACACATTTACATACCGGGTGTTTAATATTAAAAAAACATAAATATACTACTCCAAAAAATTAAAGGAACAAAAAGTTTTCCTAAATTTTTTGGTAATTTTTGGAAAGCTGTAACTTATTGAAAAATTGTCGCATCTAGGTTAAAAAAAAACATTTTAAAGACTAAAGTTTATAGTTTTGAGATATTTTGGCAAAATGTTTTTCTGTGCTACGATTATCACGCAATTTTAAGTAATATTGCTTTTGGTCCACGGGGTAGGGATTTTTTTGGTAAGTCAGCGCATAGACCGGATAGCACCTTTAGTATGGTTTTTTCATATTCTCTTTACGTCAATTTGTCGCTGAGATATTTGACTTTAAATGAAAAAGGATCCTTTTGTTTTTGATCATCAATATCTCAGCAACCAATGACCAAACACAATATATAAGGGTAGTGTCAAAAACTGGAATCAATGTCTTACAACATCGTTTTACGATTTTTTGAAAAATATTTTTTTCCACCCTCAACTTTGATTTCAAGAAAAGAGAAAAAAGTAACTTTTTGCGTTATTTTAGTAAATCTACCGCGTATTCACTAATAATGATGAAGAGACTAATGTTTTTAGGTGTTTTTACAGCTTAATGGATCCCCTATAGCCCTGATAATTTTAAACTCGATTCATCGAACCGTTTTTTCGGACCGATTGATCAAAGTTTTGCAAAAGAATTAAAGGAACAATTGCACATATTGTTTCTGAACACTTTTTGAAATTTCTGCACAACTATTAAATTTACCCTGTTTATACATATAATTAATTATTAATTAATTAATTTTTAAGAAATAAATCCATAAAATCAAAAAGATTAATTATTTGTATAGTGGATAACGCGTTGAGGACAAATAAAAGACTTTTCCTTAAAAATAGCCGTTTTTCTTATGTGTTATCAATTTACATAATATTCTATAGTTTTCAATAGTTATAAGTGCTACCTTCAACCACATACAATTGACAAAAATGATGAAAAATCATTTTATAAATAAACTCTTCACGTAATACTTTTCTTATAAGGTAACACACAAAGTAATTTTTCCACCATGTATGTACCTAATTATTAATAACCTCTTCTTCTTCTTAGATCTTCTTGGTATGGAAACTATGAACAAAAACACGGTTAGCCCGTCACACCAATAAAACAGTTTTATTCTCACCTGAGGATGACCACTTTGTAGTTGAAACGTGTTGTGTTTTAAATAAAAGTTTGGTGTGACAGGTTAATCGTGTTTTTGTTCTTTAATAACCTCTGTCCAACAGCCCTGATGATGAAATAATAAAATTTCGAAACGTCGGCTATTTAAGGAAAAGTCTTTTATTTGTCCTCAACTCGTGATCCACTATATAAACAAATGATGCAGGACGTTAACACAATTAGTACTAATAAGATTAATTATTGTTTTCATGAAATTAAATGAAGAAAATTATTTTCGTCCAATTTCATAATTAGCCCTGTTGGCTTCCTGTCCTCATCCACACGTTCCAGGTTTGTTTAAAATAAAATCAAACAGAAACCTCTCCCGCTTGGAGTAGGTACACACGCGTATAGGTAATTATTTTAAGAATTAAAAATCGTCTATTTTAAATTACTACAGTTTCAAGTTTCGACGCACGTCCCACGTTGTTTTCAGGCAAACACTGAAAGCTTCAGTGTGGACATTTGTCTGTGATTGGATAGTTAAGTCATGGTGTCGTGTGCAACAACGTTTGAGTCCCAGTTACTGAAAGTTTTGACCGCCATATTCGATTTGTTCTATTAAGTGAATAATTGGTGATTTTCAAACGTTTCACCGGGAAGTTTGATACAAATAACGTTTATTGTTTAAGTGAAATGTGTTGTGGATGATAATATACGATCGGCTTGTGTAATTTTGATTATTTGAACGATTTGGAGGTAATGGTTTGTTTTGGCGGGATGACGGCGTCGGTTTCCGCCATTTTGCTTCAGCGGTTTCACTTTCAGCAATACATTTCCCAATAATTGAAACGGTTTATTTTGAATTAACACAACCTAAACATGTGTATTAGTACCTAACAAAATAGAGTTGTCTCTCAAAGAATGTTTTCGGCGTTTAATTTCGGCTATTAAATAAACAATAATAAGAAAATTATAGTTGTTGCGTATTGTTTTTGAAAACTTCTTTAAACATTTTAGATACTTCAAGTTAATTGTAGGAACCTGATCAAGCGTGTGTAGCTATTACCTAAATGTAAATAAAATAAAAAATCATTCTTTTGGAAAAGTTTGTAATAAAGTTCTTACTTTTTAGATTAAGTTTTCCTTCACCTTGTTATCCGGAAGGATTTTTCAATGTTTTCTCATATATTTTTTAAAACATTAAAAAAATCTATTTCATGACTGTTTTTATACTCGTTTACCTACTCGTATTTAGAGCAGAAAGATGAATAATAAATTACACAATTTAATATTTTTTATTGATGTATTGTTATGTACATAACAATAATTTCTGGATAATTGTAGTTAGAATTGAGCAAAAGTTCAACTAGTAATCATAACGTCTAAGAATGCGTTTTTCTTCTCCCAAAATTAAAAATTTCAAGCAAATTACTATTCTTCATAAACTAAAATGTTTTTTTAGTAAAAACTTTTTTGTTGACACACTTCTCCCAAATTTTTATGCTAAAAACTGTAATTTTTTGAATATTGTAGAAAATAATTCAAAAAAGGAAACGAATTATTGTTTCTGTAAAATGTA